GGTTTCAACAGCTGCTGCCTCCTGCTGCGCGTCGTCGCCAAAGGCGCCCGGGCCGAGGAGCTCTGTCAGCACCTCTGTCGCGAGCTGCTGCGCGCCGCCGGCGCCGGCGGCGAGCTGCGACTCGCTGGGGGCGAGCAGCGGCGCGAGCGCGGCCAGCAGATCGGGGTGGGCTGCGAAGAGCTGCGGGAGGAGGGGCCAGCGGGGCGGCGGGAGGTCGCTGGGATGGCGGACGGGCGATGCGGGTGCGCGCAACGAGAGCCCAGCAGGGGCGCACCAGCTGCGCCCGGCGGTGCTGCAAAGCGGGGCGGCGGCACGGGCGCCCAAGCCGGCGGGGCAGGGCGGCTGCTGTCTGCTTCTTTGTGTGTCTCTGTGCGATGCATGAGGCGCAGGCCGGTGCGGGTCCGTCGAGGCGCAGGCGGCTGCCTGCTGCCACGCCGCGCTTTGGTCACCTGGCCGGGCGAGGCCCTGCAGGGGCTTATGCCGTCCGCGCTGAGCCGCAGCCACGCGGAGAGGCACTGAAGGGCCCCTTGGAGCAGGCCGTAACCGCCTGGCGGGACGCAGGGCGGCGCCGCGGGCGCGTGCGGGCGCGTCGGCCGGTCGCGGCAAACCCGCCGGCGCAGCGGGGTGCGTGCGTGCAGAGCACAGGCAGACTTTGCTGAAGGCTATCTCGTGGGTTCAGCGGCCTGATTTGTTGACGCCAGCCCGCTCGCCAGCACACATCAGGTCACCATGAATGTGTTCTGCCGACCCAGCGGTCCCCCGCAACGCACCCGCCGCCGCGCCCCGCGCCGCAAGCAGCTGCGCCGCAGCCACGACCTGCGGCCACTGCGGCTCGGTGGCTGCGATCAGGTCCTTGCGCCGCTGGCCGTCCATGTTTGCCACCTCTTCCGCCAGCGCTGACATCATTGACAGCCCGCACTCCGCCACTTGCTTTGAAGACAACGCGTGCGGTGTCAGACAAAGGGAGGGGCGAGTATGATCAACACCATGCTGCTGGAAACGCATGCGTCCTGTTGCAGCCGCACAGCGATTGCTGCCACACAGTTGCCGCTGCCGCACGGCCGCTGCTGCCGTGTGGTCCTGACGAGGGCGGCCCCGGGATGCAGCTGCTCACCAGCTGCGCGGGGTCGCCGCTGCCGGCCGCCCCGACCATGCCCACGCACTGCCCAGCAAAGTCCTGCGCCGCCCGCGGCCCGGACAGCGACGCCACGGCGGCCAGCAGCAGGCCCAGGCGCTGTGTCGCCAGCTTGGGTGCCGCACTGCTGCTCAGGAAGGCACGAAACTTGTCGCTGGCGGCACGCGGCGCATGCACAGAGAGCGACACTTGTGACCACCAGCAGTTGAGCAGATGAGGGCGGTTCCACCGAGCTGCGCACCCATCTTTCCGTCTGGTTGCAGCCGCTTTGATGAGGCAACTTGACATCGTGCACAATCTGAACTTCCGCCACTGGGTTGGCCGGGCCCCACATGCGCATGCGCACATTGAGCGCATGCGCACGCGCAAGTGCGAGTGAGCCCCCTTGCGCACCTGATCGCCGACGCCATCCGCAGTTGCTGGTCCTGCGGTACTTTGTGCCATTCTTTTCTGACCTTTGTCAGCAGCATGTTGGCACAAAAGAAGCAGACCTCGGCGTCCCGCCCGGGATCCAACAGCTCAAGGCACGCCTCCCAAGCCTGCGGCTGCTGGCTGAAGCTATTGAGCCATTGGTTGGCCTGCTGTTGAGCCTCGCCTACACTCCCATAGAGGGCGGCGATCGCTGACCCCAGATCAGCTGCCGACATCTTTATGCCGATGCCAGCGCCTCTTATGCCGCAGCAAGCAGCTCGGCGTTATGAGCTGTATGCACTGCTGATGTTGGGCCATTGCCACAGGCATCTGCGGGACACCATGTGAGTCAATCAGTCAATGAGTCGAGCGACGTCACCGATCGCGATGCGAGCCCCGGCTTCAGGAAATTAACTTTACCCTTTGGGCGTGTCACCCGCTGTAACCCGTAGAGAGTGCACACTATGTATTGGATGAACTCTTGATATAAAACTCGAAACACGTGGGGGAACGCTGCCTGTTGATCGTCTGGGGCACGGGTGATGTGCCTGAAGCTGATGACTGCCGGGTTGGACGAAGGGACAACTGGCGGAGGAGAGGGTGGGGGAGAGGGTGTGGAGGGTGGGGTTGGGTCAGATTGGGTAAATAAGGGGTGCAAGGGCTGGTACAGGGGCTATCAAAGACGCACAACGCCGACACAGGGTCCTCTGCCGGACGCGAACCACGCACGTTGAAAACCTTGCACCTTCGCCGGCCCTAATCATCGCATTTTCAAAGGGATGGGCTCATGATCGTTGCCTGGGCGAACAAGTTGCTGGGCAAGCCTGATCAATCAAAAAGAGAGGCCATGTTGGGCTACTTCCATGGGACTACTCCCCCACCCATTCTGGGAGTCACCGGGTGCCCCGCCGCGTGAGGAGCGCAACCCTTTGCCGCAGCTGTGCGGGGCTTATGGAACGGCAAATTAACGGCACTATTCCAGTCGCTGACATCAAGGACGTTACAGGGAAGCTGAGGGTGACCGAGTGCCGGGTGACGCAAAGGGTAAAGTTAATTTCCTGAGGCCGAGGATGCGAGCATGTGAAGGCTGCATTGCCGTGCAAATGGGTGGGGGGTGCATGCATGTTGGCATGGGTGGCTGGCGCGTCCACAGCACAAATCTGCCATCTGCGACAGCGCAACGCAAGCCTAGCCGTCCCCATCCCATGGATGTTAAAACCCTGTCGCTTTCCTGCAATGACGGGCGCAGTGTTTCACGTGCACGCGCACAGCATAATCACCTATGTACACCTGGGAGGCAGCAGCCAGGCTGACCCTGCTGGTGCAAGGCCATACGCTTGCCCAAAGCATGCAAGGTGCGCTTCAAGAGCCGTCAAAGCAGGCGTGATCTGGCTGCTCCCACAGCCCCTCAACGACGAGGCGCTGCCGTGCTCCAGCTGCTCAGCTGTGCTGCACGGGGCACAGCGCCGCCGGGCACTGCAGTGCGCGCAGGCAGAGTTGGCGGCGGCAGCGTTTGGCAGGGGTGGTGCCGCATGCGTGTGCTGGGAGAATCTGGGGGGCACGCATGGGAGACGGCTGGCGATTGCTGGCTTCGACGTTGCAAAATGATGAGTGATTACATGCGGATTTTGTTGTGTGAGCGTGAGGTTGACAGCAACGACAACCCCAAACTTCCGCACGCTTGTCACCAGCTGCATATGCAGCAGAAGTGTGGGCGTGACACACACACACACACACACATGTGCTGCAAACAGCGTGCGGGAGGGGCAGTTTTGGGGCCACATCAATGGGATATCCTGAACCCAAGGCTTGTGCGTGAGTTGCAAGGCATGTGCAGTTCGATCCGTTTTGATCTGTATCAGCTGTTCATGGCAGTAAATTGACATCACAGACGGTGCTTCGCCCCGGAGCCCAGGCGGCGCGCAAAGGCAGCGGTCAAGGCCCCAAAAACGGCAGCTAGCCGAGGGCAAAGCTGCTGAAAGGGCACAGCGTGCCACCAGCGGCGCATGTGACTCGAAGGTTGCGAACTGCCACATACGGCACGCACACGCTCAGTTCCCACACACACATCACGTGTACAAATTCACAACACAGGCTGATGCGATGCGGGGGCGCAATGCAAGCCTTGTCTGCGCTCGCTCCCCAGTCCAAGAAAACGCTGCTGATATAGGAACTGGTCAAGGGTGGAGGCGCGCACCGCGCAGGCTCAAGGCATAGCAGCGCGTCAACAGCGACGCGGCTAATCACACCGGCGCCGCGGCCCTGCCGCCCAGGGCCGTACTCAAGCGCCGGCGCAGCGCGAACAGTGCGGCGTCGGCGCGCTCAAACACGTTGCGCGGCGCGCCGGCGACGTGCGTCACCACAACCTCGCCGCCGCGCGCCTCCGCGACGCGCATGGACTCCCCCACCCGCAACTCCCCGTGCACCAAGAGCGGGTCGTCGTCGCCGCTGCTGCCCCTGCTGCCGCTGCTGCTGCTACTGCTGCTGCCGCCCTGCGCGGCGCTCCCGCCGCTGCTGCCATTTAGACTGCTGTTGTTGATGCTGCCGCTGCCGCCGCCGCCGCCGCCGCCCGAGGCCTGCGCCGCCAGGCGCTCCTCGACCGCGGTGACCCAGCTGGTGAGCACGCGGTTGACAGCAATCGGGGCCTCGTGGTGGGGGCACTGGCGTTTTTGGGTGGGGGTACAGCATATTGAGCAGCGGGGTGTTAAGAAAAGGTGCCAGTTGATGGACCCATACGTGGGTGGTGGGATAAGTTAGAGAGGCACGATAAATGGGCCCGTCAGGGGTAGCTGAGGGGCGCAAGCAAAGCGGGGGCCGGGGAGAGTCTTGGGTCTGCTGGCCCAAACAAGTAGACCAGAAGGTCAAACGTGGCGCCACGATCAGGGGCTGAGGCAGGAGGATATACGCAAGGTCGTCACGGACCGCCGGCGCCGCCCCGGGTGACGCGCACGGGGTGACACCCGCCATGACTCACGTGGCCGACCTCCGCGAGCTCGTAGTAAGCGGCATGCGGCACGGCGCGCTTGAAGCGCTGCGAGGGATTGGCAACGTGGACGAGGGGGTGTTGCGGTGCGTCAACCCACAACCAGCGAGCCTGCGAGCAGGCTCGAGCGGCCGAGCGGCGCCGCCGCTGAAGGCGAAAGGGCGCGTGTTCGGGCACGGGGGCGCCTCGCGAGCGTGTGTTGAAAGCGCCGCCCACCTGGCCCCACATGGGCACGACCCAGGGGTCCGCCTGGCCGTAGCACAGCAGCACGGGGCAGGCCAGCCGCCGCAGGTTGTCGTCGAAGGAGGCCTTGGTCTTGGGGGACAGCACGATGCTGGCGAACGCGTCGATGGCACCTGCTCGATTGGTGGTGGGTGGGGCGGATGGGTGCAGCAGAGCGTCGGCAGGGGTGCGGGGTGCGAAGGGTGCTGGCCGCATTGACTGGCACGACTTGTGTGTCCCGCGGCCCCGAGCGCCCCAGCGGGAGCGTTGGGAGGCGGTGTGTGTGCCCGGTTGATCCAGTGTGGGGGTGCGGTTGTAGCACCTGGCAGCAGCTGTCATGTTTATTCAAGCATGTGCATCACCACGCGAGCTCGCGCGGGCTGCACGCCGCTTGCTGCTCCCCACTCAACACATCAGCACCCCTTGCCACCCACACACACACACTTGCACACACACACACACACACACACACACACATACACACGTGCGCGAGCACAAGCAAGCACACAACACGTCGAGCAACACGCACCTGGGTGCTCCGTGGCGGCCAGTATGCGCTGCAGCAGCAGCTCGTCGTCCACCGGCCGCGCGTAGACGAGCGACAGCAGGCCGCTGATGGTGGTGGGGTCCGCCAAGTTGCGCCACCACAGCCGCTCGATCAGCGACTTGACGGTCTGGGGGGCGGAGGCACGTGAGGGCGGGGCCGGGGCGGACGGCCGCCAGGATTTGCGTGGTTCTGGTTCACGATTGAGAAGCAAGGTGCAGGAAGACGAGGACTTCGCAGTCCCGTGACAAAAACCTGGGTATTGGGTTCGTAAAATGACGCTAGCGCCGCTTGCGTAGGCGGCCAGGGCAGGGAACACAGACGTTTCGCAGAGGTGGGGCCAGCCAGGGAATGCTGAGGGTTGGTAAGCGGCGCGGTCGCGGGTCGTGCGGGTGCTGGGTGTATTTGACAGGCCGCGAGTGCAAACCCATCACAGATCTTGGCACCGGCGGGCTCGCCGCGCCCCTGCCGCTGCGCCGTGATGGGCAGTGCGCGTCCTGCCGGGCTGGACGCGGGACGCGGGCACACCTTGGGAACGGGCACTGTTCCGTCCAGCTTCAGGGTGGCCATGATGCCAGGTGACGCCCCCTCAGACCTGAAAGACCAAAACGGGGCTGGGCACAGGGCC